GGATCGGTCCGAACCCGAAGACTCCGAAAAACTTTGTCGGACAATCAAATACGACCAACAGAAGGCCGAAGTATCAGCGACCGGCCGGATATCATGGCGTGGATCTCAGCACGTATCAATGAAGAACCGGCAATTAGTTAAACAGAAGATTTTTTACCTTTTACGGAATTGTACCTAGATTAGAATTCCTCTACTATATAAAGGGGGTCTGATAATTCATTGTAACATGCATTCCAAAGCGATATACAACTATTTTCACTGTTATTGAATGGGTGGCCAAATGTTGGCTCACGGTCATCAACACTCGGTTGTTACCTTCCAGCAATACCACCGATGTAAATGGGCCACGGGCGGCTATGATATATTGCTTCATGACTCATCAAGGGTTTGATGTCACCCGAGTCCTTTCTGAAGAGATGTTCATCCGATCGCCCGAACTAGGCAAAGGACATTACTTCCCGTCTCTTGTCACCCGTCTCTGCCGCCTTGCTAATGTCCCTGAGAACTCTCAGGTTGATGGGAAATTACCTATAAAAACACCTTTCTGGGCAAGCAAAATTGGGCAAGAGGGACGTGAGCCGATACGAGGCTATGATGACTCGTCTGATGAGTCTGAGTCTGAGGATGATGATGATGCTGAGGACGCTACTGAGATCACCGCCCCTCCTAGAGGGGACGAAGCAGGATCATCACAGCCACGCCGAAGCACTCGCCTGGATGATTTGGAGCAGCGGATGACGGGACTGCAGACCTCCGTCATTGACTTGGGTAACCGCATTGATGTTGTGGCTGAAAGACAAGTGAAGTCAGAAAAGAAGTTCATGGGATGGTTGAGAGCTCTGGGTCGCGCCTGCAGCGTGAACCCAGACACTGTTTCAGATCAAGAGTGACCCCTCAGGGAAGTTCCTTTACCTCACTGATTTTATATTATTAAGCCATGGGGACATGTCTTATTTTTAAGTGTGGGGTGGGGGAATTTTGTTGTCTGTTGTACTTGTGAATATATTATTTGTTTGTTTGTTCTTGGTTTTGCTTTGTGTTTTGTGTTAGTTGTTTAGGAATGGAGTAACAGTTATTGTGTTTTAGGAAGTTAAAAAAATAGAAGCGACTTGTCCCGACGATGGATCTCTGTCGACGGGGTTCTTGAGGGACTAAATCGAGAAAAAAAAATTGGAAATATAAAGACTCTTCCTAAGACGGATTCTTTAGACAATTTTCTTGAGGGAAGCTAGTCTACAGAAAACACCAAAAAGATTTATTTTCTTTAGGTAGTGTAGTAACTCCCTCTTGGTTTTTCTTTGGGTCACGATTCTTTTCCAAGGGTTTTGCTTGAACCGGGTATAGGTAGATTTTTTTTAGGTTAGGATTAATGAGCGAAGAGCTGAAATTTGAAGAAGAAAAACCCTTAGCGTTCTTACACCTGAACACGATAGACGTTAGAGTGTAGCGCTTAGCTTCAAGGGTTGAATCTTGTTTGAGTGCCTTAAAAATTGTATGTTTGTGCTTAACTTGAACACTCGAAAGAGAGTATCTTGATAAACTAATCCGGAGTGAGTCATGTGCCAAGTGAGTGTGAGTATTGTTTGTATTCCATGCTGTACATTTGATGCCTAGAACTTGCCCTGTGTGTTTGCAAAGCGAAATAGTAGCTTCATTCAGTTTTAGAAGTGATATAGGCATTTCTTTGTTGAGCCAGAAAAAAAAAATTGAACCCACCTGAATGCATTACATCTTAGTTAACCCCGTTGAGCCTATAAGCCTGTTTCTTTGGCAACCACAATGTGAACCTTACCCAATTGTTTGAATAGCCTGTTGTTTGAACCAGTTGTCCTCCCGCTCACTAAGCACTAGAATGGTATTGAGATTATGCAAAAACAAAAGTGTGGGGTGGTGGTTTGGTTTTCGAAGTGGAACCATGGAAATAGAGAAAAAGATGCGGAATGTGAAGCGCAAAAAGAGAAGCACCACGAAGAAAAAAAAATCAAATATTTTGTAGTGATTAATAAGTGGTAGCTAGTATAAATTGCACCTAATGTATGGGGATGTTTAAATACGGTGGAGTGTTGGCTTACAAAATGACGAGCTTGAAGTTCAATGTAATTGTATTAAAAGTGCTTAGGGAGGTTAGTCACTATATCTAAATGTATCCTACCTGTCCCTTAGCCTACATTACAACCAAATAAAGTCCTATTGATCTTAGACTGAGTGGGGCTCGATTAGTCGAGTACGACACTAGGGGCAAGCCTATGGTGTGTCTTTGTTGCATGCGAATGTTTCTTTTGGAGAGTGAGTGAATTCTGTCTATTTGAGTTCCTAGTTGTATCACTATCATTATATACATGGAACTACTCTCTTGTGTGATGTGAGGGCATGTGATTCACGAAGGAAAGGTGCGTCTTGACTATTGTATAGAGTGGTTTGAGTAAGTGCAGATGTTGCAGGGTACGGAAAAAAACTTGATTCTTGAGGTAAAAGTTGCTCATTACTAGGTGTAACTCTTGAAAAAATGTTCATGGTGTGAGTCGTTGAGGGAAAAGCATAAGGAATGAATTTTTATGAGTGTGTGGTGAATTGCTCGAGGACTAGCAATGATTTAAGTGTGGGGTGTTGATAATAGGCTATATAGTTGTTATTTACGCCATAATTACCCATGCTTTGTTGTTGTTTTGTAATGTAAGTTGCCAATAAAATGCTTTAATTGATGCTATTTGGTTTCGTAGGGAATACAAGATGTGAGGAAGCAAAAATGAAGTGTTTGGAGGCAAAAACGTGAAGAAATCACCAACTCAAGAAGCACCCGAACGCAAAAGAGCAAATGAGAGAAGTGACGCGGCAAAAAAAAAACCTTCAGTGCTTCCCGCGGTCAGAGCCGCGGTCAGCGCCGCGGTTTTCTACAGAGGTGTCCGCGGTCGGAGCCGCGGTCGACGCCGCTGCCGCGGTAGCTCGTGCACAGTCCAGAAAATTGAGGGGTCAAAGTGTCAACTCGGGAAAGCTTTTGTAAAATCCTTATAATATGTAGGAAACTCGCCCAAGGCTTGGTGAGGCTTAGTTTGGAGATTATTTTGCAAGAGAAACAAGTGTGAGAGATCACCCAAAAACATCATTGTTCTTATTCTCTCTTATTTTCTTGCAATTTACAATTATGAATCTTTTCGTAGCTTATTCCCCTATTGTTATGAGTAGCTAAATACCTTAATCTAAGGTTTTGGTGGAACCCGTTGGGAATGACTTGGTTGTTTTATTAATATAGTGGATTTTGTTGTTAATCTCTATTTGTTCATCCATGTTTTGATTGTGGTTAGTTGAAAGGGCCCTCAATTATCCGTTCCTATTTAGTATGTATCTACTTGAGAGAGAGTGCATATTTAGGTGATTGTATGAACAACATCACTCCCGGAGTATAGACGAGAGTCATAACCGAGGGTTTAGAGGTTGGATTAGAGATAACGATACCTCGGGTGCAATCTAAGTGAACTGTATTGAGAATCTAGCTAGCGTAGCTTGAGAAAGTGCGTCTAGTAAATTATCATACTTACTTGAGAAAGATTTATGATAGCTGGAGCATTCATGATTGATAGAGGCAACTAAATCATAATTATAAGACATATACAACCAAGGAAATTACCAGCGGGGGAAACCGGTACCTTAGACCTTATTCCAATTGTTTACACATCAAGCTTAGTTAATTTTCAGCTGTTAAATACTTTCGATCTTTAGTTGTTAGAAAATCAACCATTGTGAATCAAAAAGTTTGGGAAAACAGATTGTGTGAATTTAATAAATCTGACAGTAGTGATTGATAGGTTAGTTCCCTGTGGTTCGACTCTGGGCAATAATACTCAGATTATATTTGCAAAGCCCGCATAGTCTTTTGTAAGACTCAGTTGAGCAACAAATACATTGCTCTAAATATATTGCTTGTTTCCAAAACAAGCACACAAACTTATAATTCCTGTAAAGGCATACTCTGGTGACTGGTGAAAAACACACAAAGAAGGAGAAAGGGACTTCTCTTCATTCGTTTCAAGAGGCTGAAGTATGAACCGAAGTACATCAGTATTATCAATTGTATACTATATACCAAGCATATTTTCGGGTTTAGATTTTAATCGCTCACATCTGTATTCAATGGAACATCATACACCTAACTAGAAGCTCAACTCAAGACGAGCTCTACAGCAAATTGACCAGAAAGCCAAGAGCCACAGCTCTCACACTCCCAGATAGTTACAACAGGGAACCAACTTGGATCTTTAAGAGGTTCATCTTGAATACTCACTGGAGCAGCAGTGCTAATCAAATGGCTTGCTTTATGAGTTTCGTGGGTTTCATCTGCGACGTCTATTGTTGACAAAATCTGGATTACCTTTCCTCATCATGGCAGCAAACTCATCATAATTGATTCTTCCATCCTGCAATTGGATAGTAATATTTATCAGTGTCAGTCCAAGAAACATCATTATGCATAACCACAACTGACTCGTAAAATCCTCTTCTTCTTTCTTCCATATGCAGCTTTCTTATTTAAAAGAACAAATTCTATTTCTTATATTTAAGGAAACATCACAAGACATATATCTACATACCATGGACTATTTAAGTCATATCAAATTTTATTGGTTCAATTCAACTAAGTCACGATTGACAAAATCTGTAACAAAATGATAAAGTGCACTAGAAGAATTATGTCCTACCAACAATTTTTTTGCTAAAAACAATGTTTTTTTTTTTTTGATAAGGCAAGGAATTGGGGTGAGAGAGGCTAAAACCAATGTTTAATGAGTGTTTTCCAAAAAATTTACTTCATTGAGAGACACCTACTTATAAAGAGATTAAAAAAACAAAGATTCAACTCCAGTTCACTAGAATGATTCCAAGTTGCTGTCTAAGCCAGAGATGTCACATGCAGAGTCCATACCACGTGATCAAAGTACTCTAATAAATCACTCCTAAGTGACCAAAAGAAACTCACATTTTAAAAAAAAAAAATATATAAATATTCACTAATGAAAGGAACCCATACATTGTCTGTGTCAACTTCAGCAATGATCTCTTTTATTGTTTTTTCATCAGAAATGTTGTATTTCTTCAGGGCATGCTCCAATTCGTCCATCGTAATATACCTAAAGGGACCAAGATTAGAACGCATTCAAATGTTTAAATTCAACGTAGAGGAGCAGGTAGATAGCCTACCCGCTCTTATCCTTGTCAAAATACTCAAACGCTGTGTACAAGTGATCTTCTCTTTCCATGCGATTCATGTGCATTGTAGCTGTTATGAACTCGAGGTAATCAATTGTTCCATTTCCATCAACATCAGCCTGGAAGAGCAATCAAATATCTGTATTATTGACTATGTATTAAGCATGTTATATAAGTGTGTATACAGCATGCACCGAAGGCATTTGGGAGCCAAATATTCATCATGTAAAACAATTTTTAACGGCATTGAGAACAGCAACTCCCATCATTTCCCTGGAGCCTTTGATAATTAGAACACTTTCCACTTAGAGTTGTGGAACTTGCTAATGGGTATACAGTACTTTCATGGAGCGAGATACGCATCACCAAAACGAAGTCTTTCCACTGGACTATTTAAAATCTCCTGTTCATGTGCTTCACCAGTAAGCATTTAGTTTCAGAAATTTACATGTCATCAGGTGATCCACTGCATGCCAAATTTGTAAAATGAAAATGGCCAATAATTTCAAGATGGAGATAAAAGCTAAAAGAGAAGGTAAAGATAACCATAAACTAAGGATTAGTCAGGAAAATACCGCTTCCATCAACTGCCTGACTTCTGACTCAGAAAGCTTTGTACCCATTTTTGTAAGACCGGCTTTCAATTCTTCATATGTAATTGTTCCACTGTCATCCGTGTCTATTGATTTGAACATTTCCTTCAAGCCAATGATTTCTTCTTCGGAGAGATTTTCAGCAATTACCTGCGAATGAAGGGAAACAGAAGATAAGCACAGTTGTAGAGAACACATGCGAGGGAGAGAAGTTGCCTTTCTCGTTAAGAATAAGAAATTGGATACACAACAACCTTCAGTGCTACTTTCTTCAGCTTGTTCATAGCACGGAATTGTTTCATTCTAGATAAGACAGCAATGTCAAGAGGCTTGTCAGATGCATCACCATCTTCTCTCATCCATGGATGATCTACATTTTCACAAAATATTTTCTTGTAGTTATAGCACAGTAAGTTTGTGGCAATATTTGTTAATTATTTTATTTTGCTCAATAAAATTTTTAAGTGCATTAAGCCAGTGTCAAATTAAAATATTATAACAATATGAAAGTCCTAGTCTACCATATGTGAAAAACAAATCGATAATCCGCGGCTTATTTATTTCTTTATTTATTTATTTGATAAATGGCTTATTTGTTAATACAATCCACAATGAAATGGTCGTTCCAGAGATTATAACCATCAGTTATGCATATCCAGCACCTAGCAGTAGGAGTTATCACAAAGACCATAGTTATTCCTTAAAGGACTTTAGAGTTGTACGAAACAAACTTCCACAATGTATGAACCACACCTCACTCCTACACAAGTGCGGAATAGCCACATGAATCCTCTATATTCATTCTGCTCTATGCTCTGGTCCACAAGGTATGATTACATTATTTTATTAAAAAAGAACAAGGTGTGGATATAGTTGCTATTGCGTTAATATGAATATCATATACAAGTGTGGGAGGGTCAGTAGTTTCTTATAAATTTTAAGGATCAATATAAAGTTAGATAGCCATGTCGTACCCGTACATGTTTGTCTTAAGAGGGAAGAAATTTGGTATCAGCACTGATACAACCTATGCATGATTTCTTACACTAATTCATTAAGTTCAGTTGGAATGTAATAACAAAAAATAATAATAATAAAATCAATTGACGTGAGCCTGTATCTTATGTCATGTATGGAGGGAAAACAACTAGATGCTTGAAGGAAAATCCGAGTAAGTCCATGTTTTGAAATATAGATGTGTATAATTTTGGGGCTTTGTACAAACTGTATACTATAGCTGATTGGGATAATTTGTTGGACTTTATGGACTAACTACTTAGCTAAAAAGAATCTGGACGCTATACAAATAAAATTACTCCTCCTAATTATAAATAAAATCAAAGAGATCATAAAAAATTAGAGACAATAAAACTATGAAGGCATTTTGCAATGTATTTTGATAGATCTTAATTAAAGCTGAATCTTACTTAGGACTTCAGCTGCAGAAAGCCTTTCCCTAGGATCAGATCGTAGCATCTTCTTAACAAGATCTTTAGCACTACTCGATACTGAAGGCCAAGGATCCGATGAAAAATCAAGATGACCTCGAAGAACAGCATCAAAGATACTCTGATCATTCTCTGCATACAAAGAAAGAGAAATATTTCAAAGTCAATGAAAAGTACATTGGAACAGTCATTTTCTATGAGAATATTATCCACAAACTTTTCCCTGTATAGTTTACTTTTTGTAGCTATTCAACACTATAAACAAAAGGCTCGGCAAAATTTAGCAAAACATCTTACAAGTTCATTTGCCCAAAAATAGGATATGCTTCCGCAAGTTTGACAGTGGCAGATGGTTTTAAATAATTGGAGCAGATATCCCTTGCTAATCTTATGGGATGCCAGTTGTAAATATAGAGTCGAAAAACTACCATGCTCAGATACAAAAGAAAACACTAACATCTAATGCAAGGTACCTTTTTCTTTCCAGCAAGATAAATATATCTTTTTGTTACATTGGCAATTACAAGAGGAACAAGAATAGTGCTGTAAAAAAATATCTGCAAGAGAAATATGAACTCTTCAACTTTTTATGCCATTTCCTCGAGTTTCCTAAAATTTCCATAGTATACGGCTACAATTCCTGAACAACTTGTTTCTTCAATTTCTTCATCATATTTTAGCTTAAGGGCAACAAAAGAGATGTTATATGGTGCATGTGCGAATCCAAGATTGTTCTATCTGTGCTGAAACGAAAAGGAAAATCAATAATGATGAAGAAGCTTTAGGACATTCTGATGCTAAAATTCTAGAGGTAGCAAATGAAGTTACCTCCATAGAATGGTGGAACGCCACTGAGTAGAATGTACAGGATAACTCCAGCACTCCAAATATCAGCTTCAGGTCCATATTCTCGGCGCAGAACTTCAGGAGCGACATAATATGCACTACCAACTAGGTCTTTGAAAACATCACCTGCATCAACGAGTGGATTTTTATGTTGAATAGGTCACCCCTATATCCCAAAAAGTTGTAAACAAGTGGTCCAGCTAAAAGTTTAACAAAACATAAGATAAAAGAGACATGGTCGAGATAACACAAGCTTGAGCTCTGTTACACGGTGGGCTTCTTGATTTGCATGAACTAGAATAGATTACTCTATAATTCGATGAATTCAATGCTTTTCTCATACTTCATTGGTCATAACAAAATTTAGTAACTATAACATCACAACAGGATGCGTTTGAGATTTAGCGAGTCAATAGTCAGCCGTTAAAATAATTTACTTACAGGAATATGGGATTCGTTAAGCTCGAGATTGACCCTTCTAATAGGTCAAGCACTCAGGCTTGATTTCACAATCAGCACACACTGGTTAACTCAATCATCTTTTTCCTTATTTTCTTGTGTCTTATAGTAAATGTTTAATGTCACTGAAGCCTTTGGAAAGAAAATTAAATTCTGCTTAAAGGCTGTATTATCAGTGTACCAGAAAACACCATTGTAACCTATGTTCAACCTACATGAACCAAGAGACTAGGTCCCCAATGGTATGGCTGGTGGTTGCGACATAAGAGTAACAACTTGGAGATCCCGGGTTCAACTCTCCGCTATAACACTCAATGTGAGCTCATTTGGTCCAGCCTCTTGGGCAGGTTTAAGTGGCACTTATCTTTGTAGGTTTTAGTAGGTTGCCGGTTTTCAGTCGAGGCGTGAAAACTTGACCGAACACCATCATCATTAAAAAAAATCAAGTGACTGCACTGATGGTGTAATAGAGTTTAAGTTCTATGCACGAATGGTGCAAAAGTTATAGCATTGAAGGTAATTCTAATTTATAACATTGATTGATCACCTAGAATAATCGGTAAGTAACCTGCTATAACAAGTTGTAAATTATAGTGATGGTGTAAAAGAACATTACATTCTCAATGTATATAGCTTAAATCCTTATATAGAGTTACCTGCAATTAGTTTTTTAAGTGGCATGATTGTGTAATAGAAATATTTGCAGTATCGCAGTACAGAACTTTAACAACAATAACAAACTAGTAGAATCCCACGGGTGGGGTGTGGGGAGGGTAGAGTGTATGCAGACCTCCCCTACCCCGAAGGGAAGAGTACAGAACTCTAACACTAAATATAATATCTGTCCACTAATACCTGGTTTGAAGAAGACTGATAATCCAAAATCAGTAGCCTTCAATGGTGAACTTTCATCGGAGCTCAAAAACAAGAAATTTTCTGGCTTTAAATCCCGATGCATAACGCCCATGGAATGACAATAATGAACCACCGTAACCATCTGCCGGCAAAGCCCGGCGGCAGCTCGTTCGGAATAGTGTCCTTTAGCAATTATCCGGTCAAAAAGCTCGCCGCCGGCACAAAGTTCCATGACGAGGTGAACGTGATGCTTGTCCTCGAACGTTCCTTTAAGTTCCACGATGTTCCGGTGACCGGTTAAGTGGTGCATGATCTGAACCTCGCGGCGTACGTCGTCCACGTCGTCAGCCGCTATGAGCTTTCGCGTGGCAATTGACTTGCACGCGAATTGCTGGCGCGTTTGCTTGTGAGTTACTAAAAAGGTTACACCGAATTGTCCGCGACCGAGTTCGCCGCCGAAAATGTAGGTGGAACGAACGTCTTCCATTGGTTTGCCGAGGACACGGCCGATGCCGGATAGTGGTCGGGGAGGTGGCGGTTGAGATGAAGGGATGATTCGGATACCGGTGGTTTGAGACGGCAGCGGAACGGTGTCGCCGCCGGAGGATGTGGTGGTAGTTTGGTCCGAAGATGAGCTGTTACAGTTGCCCATTTTTTGGGGGTGTGTGAGGACTGTTCAGTCAAACATTTTGTTGAGCTATATTTGCTGACTTGTCTGAAAAATGTGAGCATTTAATCATTGACTGAAATGACAGAATTGACCTTAGCAAAATTTGGCAATTGTGTTCTTTAATTTGAATTTTTGAATTTGAGTTTTTAAAAATGGAAATATTTAGGTCGACACGAAAATTAAGCAGACATGAGAAAAGAAATTCTAACCTTTACTTGGATTTCAAGCATTAGTCCTGACTTTTTAAGTTGATTCTCTTTCGACTCTTCCTTAGAGAAAAAAAAGATTCAAGGAACGTCTTGAAACAAAATAATTCACTAAATGATTATTGGCTCTTACGGGGAGTCTGAAATTAACAATGTGTCACTGCTTGGGCATTAAATTTTTGCTGCTTGAGAAAGCATATGAGGAAGTGTTTTGCTCCCTTTGTAACATGTCATCCTTAATCAGAGGTCTCGTATTCGAGTATGAATATGGAATTGTTTTTCGTACGGAGCTTTTTGTTCTCACAGTGGAATTTTCTGACGTAAATCTAGATTGCTTGAATCGAAACGGATACCAGATACTAGATAGGAAACCAAAAAGGAAGGAATAGTACTCCCTCCGGTTCAAAATAAGTGATGTTTTGGCCTTTTTCTTGTGGTCCAAAATAAGTGATTTTTTCAGATTTCAAGAATGAATTAATTATTTTTTTCTTACATCGTCCTTGAAGTAAATGGTGTTTGAATATGTGTTAGGAGTGTTTATGTGAGATAGTAAAGGTTAATATAGTCAATTCTATTGCTAATTAATGCTAAAAGGTGAATTTCTTAATTTGTGTGAAAACATCCAAAAAATCACTTATTTTGGACCCCGGGGAGTACAAAATAGCCCTCCAATTTTTTTTATTAGCATCCTTTAATCTAATTTTTCGTTTGCAAATTTTTCCCATAAAACCTTTAATATTTTGAGATATAGACTTCTTTAGCTTGCCAGTTGCCAGTTAGGAATAATACAATCCAAAACTGGGTTATGTCATCCAATAGCTCCCCACAAATTGCGTTGTAACAAATACTTTAGGACAAAGATAGTTTATTGTTAAGAGCATATAATAAAGCAATGACTCACTGAAAACTGAATAATGGCAAAGTTTAATCACTTAAAATTGTGGGGGTGGGGGTGGGGGTGGGGGTTGGGGGTGGGGGGGGGGATGCTATAGAAATAAAATTATAATGAGTTCTCAAACTACCTCAAAATATTTACAAGAGCAAAGCTACAAGAAAACAGCTATGTACAAATGTACATTAAGCCAATACTGGACACCAAACTCTTAAACTAACTTTCAGCCTAGTATCTCCCCTTATTACCACTATAAACTATAACGCCTCTCTACCTGCGCAGGTAGGGGTAAGGCCAAGGCCAGTCTGTGTACATACTATCCTCGCCAGACCCCACTTGTCGGAATATACTGGGTATGTTGTTGTACTATAATAGTAGTAGGTTCAAGTCGAAATCCGACTTCACAAATGAAAGATAACAGCTTCTTAACCACCATAATAGTGAACAAGGTAGATAACAAAAATTGACACAAACATCCGAATTCTCAAGGCTTACAACCAAAATGCAAGGATGAAGCGGCTAGTGTATCTCGCGTGTAGTTTTTAGGCGTTACCAAAAGGTTTCCCTGGTGCGGATGCAGTCATTGTGCCCCTGGTGCAGTTTGAGCCACCGGCCAGCATTGCCATCAAACTTCCTCCGTGCACTCTTCCCTCGGAAACTGATGATGAGCTTCCACCAACTGGCGTATTCCATTCCTTAAACTCAAAAGGTTTCCAACCGGTAGATGTCAAAATGTTATTTCCCATCTTCATAATATCAATATACATATCCTGTACATTGACAATCTCCTTCATCTTCCCCAGATTTTGGGGTGTTGAATCCAAGACCACAGCCCCTAGAGTGGCACCACCATGAACACGTTTGTCTTGCACCAGGGCACCATGAGATACACATGTCGTCCCTCTGGCAAATGAGTTACAAGGACTATCATTTTGGCCAAATTCGGAACCAGGTTGACCCCAAGAACATCTTTTTCCACCACCGTGGGCCTTGCAGAAATCGGTGCTTCCTTGAGCACTTTTTCCACATCCGTCGAATTTGCATCTTTTACCACCACCATGGCGCACGCAGAAATCAGTCCGGCCCCTAGCACTCCTGGAGCACTCTGGGAAAGCACATCTCTTACCACCACCATGCGCCACACAGAAGAGAGTCCCTCCATGCACACTCTTTGGGCAAACCCCGCCTCCTTGGAATGTACATCTTTTCCCTCCACCATGACCCTTACAGAAAGGTGTGCTCCCCTCTGCGCCCTTATTGCACCCTTCAAACGTGCAACGTTTCCCACCACCATGGGCCTTACAAAACAAGGTGCTTCCTTGGGCCCCTTTAGTGCACTGGGAGTACCGACACCGCCGACCACCTCCATGTGAAATGCAGAGGCCAGAGAGGCCCTCCGCACTTTTCATGCAGTTCTCCATCTGGCATCTCTTGCCCCCACCGTGTCTAATGCATAATCCAGAATTCCCTCTGGCAGCGCGGGTGCAGCCTTCGTGATTGCAACGGCGTCCACCCCCATGTGTGATGCAGAAATCAGTGCGTCCTTCTGCACTCTTGGTACACCCTAGGAATTCACATCGCCGACCACCGCCATGGGCCTTGCAGAATGCGGTTCGACCCTCGGCTCCCCTATGGCAGCCTGGTTTTTGACACCTACGGCCTCCACCATGGGCAATGCAAAGGCCGGAAGCACCTCTTGCTCCTTTGACACATCCCTTGAACTGACACTGTTTGATACCACTGCTGCGCTGCTGCTGCTTTATCGACCCGGAGGTACAGGTGAGTGAACTTTTTGGATTTGTTATTACACTTGAGGAGGGATCAGGAGAGACCGGAGATGGGTCTACTTCTTTGATCGCCTGTTTCAAGAAGTAACTAGGCTCTTTGTCCTGTGGCACAAGTAACGGATGAAAAAAGCTACCAGTATTCTGATGAGAACCTGTTGATACTTCATCAGTGTGAAAAGCCAGACCAAAATCGTGCGGCACCTTTGTGACACTTTGTGGTGAAGTGGAGGTCAGATGCACAGTCGTAACATCAGATTCAGCAGCACTATTGGAAAGACTCAGTTCCAGATCAATTGCATTCCCTGTGTCAAGTGCTTTTGGAATGGAGATAGCTGAACTTTTTGGCCTTGGAGTCCTCCCATTGGCGAGATGAAGACCGAAGTCCACTTCCAGGTCCATCAAGGACTCATGAGTTTCTTTCGCTGGAGATATTGAGGTGCATAGAATGCCTGAACTCCACATACTTTCCGCGGAAGTTGATGAATGGCCTAAGCTTCGACATAAAGATGAATCAATTTTCTGATCAATTTCCTTTGGGGAATAGACTGAGGGCATTAGAGACCCAACGGAATCAAGACGCAGGGTGGTATCAGCACAATAACCACCTTTAGCTACAGCTCCGCCAATTGGGATGGAATTGCCCACCTTCTTGGATGCATGTAACGACGAGTTTGCAGCAAACCCCAAATAGTGGAATCTGGGATCCATGACTAGGATGCAACACTACAATGGAACCAAATCTCAATTGCAAAAGAAAAGTCGGCCAGACTTCCGGGCTAAAATTAGTTAGTGGCTAAACTAGGGTTAGATGTGTCAAAAAGAGCACATCCCACCCCCGCTTACGAATCCTGACGTATCCTTTCTATCCATTATTAGATATCAAACTTTACTCCAAGTTCTTGTAATCAGCACCAATGGAGTAAAACTTTGTGCAACGTCAAAACCTCCAGCGTCAAATCATGACAAATAATCATCCTGCACAACACATTGAATTACATCACTGAGCAGATCTAAGGTCAAACACCCACCGTACAGAAGTCACAAGGTCGGGAAAATATGAAAGGGAAAAGATTTAGCAGACACAAACCAGAAAGATGAAGATCATTTAAATGTGGAACAGAATATTTCTTTTACTGAATCAATACGCCAAGCAAATAAGAAGAAAATTTAAAGAACTTCCTTTTATTGACCCAAGCTAAAAAAACCACTTTGATTTTGCCATAAAACCACAAGGAACAGATTCATTTGCATTAAAAATTTAAATCATATTAAAACTTTGCTGTCCGAGATAACAGAAGACCACAAGGATATCAACTAAGGCAAACTTAGCAACGCAGGACATGAAGAAGAAAAATGAATGTGTCTACTTACGCAAATAGGGTTCTTCGATAAACCTCAATTCATGGTCTACCATACTAATGAATCATGTTGCTTAACGTACACTTTCCTACTTGCTTGTTTAAATCAACTATTTGAAATCCGAATAGAGCACTGGAGATTCTGTTTCCTTTTTTGCTCCTTCCGCGGTATCCAGTTTCAAAACTGTGTCAACAGGAGACAAATGAGGAAAATGAAAAGGATTTTAAATACCCCAAATACAAGCAATATAATCTAAACTAGACATAACCAAGATACAACTAAACAATTATCTTTTTTTCTTGATACATATAACTGTAACAATATATCAACAACAACAACAAACCCAGTGATTCCCCACAAGTGGGGTCTGGGGAGAGTAGTGTGTACACCGGGTAAGACTACCCCTACTCTGAGAGCGCAGAGAGGCTGTTTTAAGTAGACCCTCGGCTAAAGGAAACTATAACAATATATCAGAAGAAAAAATTGCAACGTAAGCATAAACAATAGAAGAACAAACTTATTAAAAATGTTCAAATCTAGCTAAAGGATAAAGATTTAAAAACACATGTTGTAGAAAATGTTCAAATCCAAGTTAAAATAGTAAAGCAAGGAGTAATTGTTAAACAAACTAGCTTCCAATCAGAATTCGAGATTACAGTTTCCTACCTTTTCCTTTCCGGGAAAGAAAAAACAGATTTGAGGTATAGGACTCAATGAAGAAAGTACCGAATAAATAAATCAAGAAAATACAACAGAAACGACCATTCATATCTGGGATAAAATGTTGCAAAAATTTAAAAAGACATAAGAGAACTTGAACTAAAATGTTGCAATATAAGGATAAATATTTGAAGGCCAAACTTCTAAAAAATATCCAATCCAAGTAAAAACAGCAAAACAAACAACAACAACCGAATAAAATCCCACAAGTGGGGTCTGGGGAGGGTAGAGTGTACGCAGACCTTACCCCTACCCCAAGGAGGTAGAGAGGCTGTTTCCGATAGACAATGAACAAATTGCTAAGTATACTAGCTTCTAACTGTATTCTCAAAGTTCAAGATTACAGATTTCAGCTAAAAATCCCACCTTTTTCATTCTTGAACAAAATGAAAAACTTGAAATTGAAACTAAGTAGATTAATTGGCATGGAAAAAGTTTCTGACTTAAACCAATCTAGGGAATACAACGGAAACAAGAAATTAAGACTCAAAATCTGGGACAAAGATGTTGCAAATATTTCAAGTAGAGAACAAATCTCAAAAATTAAAAATATACAATATGAGGATGAATATTTGAAGACCCAACTTCTGAAAAATGTCCGAATCCAAGTAAAAACAGATAATTGAGCAAAACTAAAGTATCCTAGCTTCTAACTGTATTCTCAAATTTCAAGATTACAGATTTCAGCTAAAGTTCCCACCTTTTTCATTCTTGAACCAAAAAATACTCGAAATTAAAGCTAAGTAGACTAACTGGCATGGCTCAAATGAAAAAGTTATTGAATAAGTAAACCAATCAATTAAGAGAATACAAATGAACAGAACAAAATCTTGAAAATAAGATTATAGATTCAAGAAAAGTACCTTTTCCAGGAGGGGTTTTTCTTTCTTTTTTTTTTTTTGTAAGTGGAATTTTTTTGAGAAGTTTTTACAGGTGGGGATTATGTTAAAACCCCAGAAACTATATATGTATAGTGAAATTAAGAGAGAGAGAGAGAGAAGGAAGTAAGGCTTGTTGAGATTGGGAGAGACAAGAAAATGAGCACATTATGAGGACAGCAGGTACATATATATATGTGTAGCTCCTTCCACTTTTATTTTACTTTTACTTAAACCTTTATTTTTAATTATATAGTACTATTTATAATTTGAGTCTTCAAAATAAAGAAATTTTATAAAGAGGGTTTTTCTTAAATGAACTATAGCCGATGCAAATTCGAATTAGTCGGCCGACACTGAAATCGTCTTGAATATTAAATGATGAAAGAACTAATGTACATTTCATCTATACCCGCTTTTTGGGTCACGTTTTAACTTGTGCCCGTTTTGCAAAAAAAATTGCAACTTCATCTATACCCACTTTTTCGCGTAACTTCAGCATATGAGGCTGAAGTAGCAAAGGCAATCACGCAAAATTTTAGCACTCTAGTAGACGGAACTGAAGTTTTTGTTTGTAATTGCTGAACTTAAGCATAGTAGCTGAAGTTTTGTTCCCTATTTGCTGAAGTTTTTGTTTGTAATTGCTGAAGTTTTTATTTTTGTAACTGGCGAAGTTTTTGTTTTGTAACTGGCGAAAAATTTTTGTTTTTGTAGCTGAAGTTTTTGTTTTGTAACTGGCGAAGTTTTTGTTTGTAACTGGCAAACTTCAGCTCTAGAATCTTCTTCCCTTCATAACGATACTGTCACGAAAACATGAAAATAGCTGCTTTACTGTCACATAAAGCATTCAATAGCAACGATACCTCATCTTATAACTCTCTAATCGGACCAATTATTTAGATTATTAGTTCAACAACTAAACCATCCAAAGGAACTGTTAATCGATATTTGATAAAGCAAGAAACTTTTTAACAATTTACATAAACCAATATGCTGCTGCTATTGACATGCATTATCAGATAGGATCTGTAGCTTCGTCATTTAACAGATCATCTATTGCCACCATTCAATCAAGCAACAAGAGTTCGATATTCTTCGAAGAGGCATTTATGATGCGAAATTGCACTGTATATTCCTATTTTTTTTTTATTTATTTCTTCTGCGGTGACAGAAATACAATTTGTGCAGTGCGACTTCAGAAAGAGGTTGAGGGCGGATATAACTTTGAGGAGGAGAAGGAGGAGGAGAAAGGGGGCTGAAGTTGTTTAAAAAGTGGGTATAAGTTAAAACTTTTTAAGGCAACAAAATAGGGCGCCCCGTGCAATTTTTACCTTATAAGTACCTAGTCATTAGGATCCAATTAGTCACCTATTAATTACTCTTTCTAGTCTTGTCATTTAAGATTTTGATTACATTATTAAGAAAATGATTCCTTAGGTTTTATTTATATGATACTCTTTTTTTTTAAATGGTTCAAAATAATGTCTCATTTTTATATTTAAAATTTTATAAACTTCAAGTTCCTTATTTTACTTTTGATAATATACTCTTATAGCTACATGAATATCGTAACTATAATATCACGACATTTAAAAAAAAGATATAATAATATTATTGAGATTTTTGGTTAAATTACTCTTATCTCATCTCTAAATGAATAAAGAACAATTCGGTGCACTAAGCTCTCGCAATATAATTAAAAAAAAATACTCTCGCAATATGCGGGGTTCAGAAAAATATCGGACCATAAGCATCTAGTTATTATACACAGCCTTATCTTGCATTTCTGCAAGAGGCTGATTCTACGACTCTAAATAAGTAACCAAATGATACACATACCTTCTTGAAATAGGAGGAGTGAAGTTGATTAGTTAAAAAAAATAATGCTTCCTGATATTTTTATAGTGAAAAAAATGAGTGGCAATTTCTTTTTGGCAAAAGCACACATACAATTAGGGCTGGGCATAATTTGGTAAATACCGAATTACCGTACCGAAACCAATAATGTTGGTATTTGGTATACGGTATTTTGGTATTTTGTTTAAGTTTTTAAAAAAATTAGTATTAGGTATGGTATTTGGTATTTTAAAATAAAATACCGAAATACCGATACCGTACCGAAATATATATTATATTACACAAAACACATTATCAATTATAACATAAATATAAAAATCTAAAATTTTACTTTCCTTTATTCTCAAAGTTCATCAATTAACTCTAAACAAGTAACAAGACATTTCTAATAATCAAATATTCTTTTATGTACAATTTTCTCTATTTGGGTTGATATTTTCTAGTTTTGGACAAAAATTTTGTCAACAAACATTTTCAGTTTTGTATTTTTGAGTACTTAGTTAAGAATATTAGAGTGTATGATTCTATGCACTAGTTAGTATCCAAACCGAATAAACCGAAGTTACCGAACCGAATAAATCGAAACCGAAAGGAGAAAAATCGAACCATACTGAATTTAATTAGGTATGGTATTGGTATAGAATTTTAAGAAACCGAATATCAAAAATACCGAACCGAAACGTCTAAATACCATACCGTACCGACCGACGAACACCCCTACATACAATGGACCGAAGGGAGTGGAAAAGCACAAGTTTATCTACATTCGTACCAAACTATATACTATATTAAATTATTAAAGTCAAGTGATACATTAAATTAGGAGTAATTAATTATGATTAAATGGTGTAGTAAATTTTGTGATACAATGCATGTACAATAGTTCAATCAAGAAAATAGTTGGCGTGGCTGCTGACTAATGACTGATCCCTTTGATGAGTGGAAAGGTCAGGTTGGGACTTTTGCTGTGCACACAGAGACACCTGACACATTTCATTTGACATCAAAACTTCACTCACGCATTTCCACAAACACAACGTGTCCTCCTTTTGTCAATCAATGATTTTCTTTTCTATCTTCAAATCATTATATTCACTCAATAATAAAGTTGGCAGCGGCTCGACACCGTTCGTTGCGCCTATACTTTATAGCCGCCTACTTTGGTTGTTTTTTGGTTGGCGAGTTCTTAATATACTTTTTCTGTTTTGTTACAAGATATTTAGTAAATGTGGATGTCCACTACTTCCACTACTTTCACCTATGATGTAAATTACTTTTCGCTATTCATCACCATTATGATTGTAACTCCCACACCTCCATAACCCCTCCCCATGATCTTCCCCCATGATCTCAATTGTTAATGTCATGTTTAAGACAATGATTTTGTAACCTTCATATGTAATAGTATAAATAGAGGCATGAAATGTGAGATGGAATACACTTGAACACTTGATGAAATAAGAAAGTTATCTCTTCTTCTCTTATTTTACTTATCTTCTTGTTTTATATTGTTACTTTGAGCTACATTTTTTAACACGTTATCAGCACGAAGTTGAGCTCTTTTCGTTGTTCAGGTATATTTGTTCATTTTGTTTTTTTTTTTTCGTTGTATATTTTGATTTCATGATTAGTGTCTTTAATATGCCGTTTTATAATTTCTCACATCTCTAGATATATGTAAAAATAAAGAATTCTATGTTTCTTTATTTTAAGTTATTTGCATGATTGTCATGTGAAAGTTGCTAATTTTTATGTTAATAGAATTAATTGAGAGAAGATATTTTGTTCTAGTTAACATCAAAGATATACTAATAATTTGAAGAAAAAATATAGTATTCTTTTCTATGGAATTATCACTTTAGTGTATATATAGATCACAAATTTGATATTATGTCAATTTTTAAGATTCTTTATGCTATTATCCTAATGATTTCTAATTAGTTATCTTTTTTGATAATTTTTACTATGTCAAATTTGTCAAAGCTTGAGTTTGTGGCACTTGACATTTCTGGAAAGAATTACCTATCATGGGTTCTCGATGCTGAGATTCACTTAGCCGCTAAAGGCCTTGGTAACACCATTACTCAGGGTAATGAGGCATCAAGCCAGGACAAAGCGAAGGCCATGATTTTCCTTCGTCATCATTTGGATGAAGGTTTGAAGGTTGAATATTTAACAGTGAAAGATCCACTTGAATTTGTGGACTAGCCTGAAGGAAAGGTATGATCACCTTAAGGCTACAGTATTGCCAATGGCTCGATATGAGTGGATGCACTTACGGTTACAAGATTTTAAGACCGTAAGTGAGTATAACTCTGCTGTATTTCGAATAACTTCCCAATTGAAATTATGTGGGGAAGTTATGAATGATGAGGATTTACTGGAAAAGACTCTTACGACTTTTCATGCCTCAAATATGGTATTACAGCAGCAATACCGTGAAAGGGGTTTTAAAAAGTATTCTGAATTGATCTCATGCCTTCTGGTGGCTGAGCAACATAATACCCTTTTGCTGAAAAATCATGAAGCCCGTCCCACAGGGTCAGCTCCGCTTCCTGAAGCGAATATGGCAGCTAGACGTGATAAGTCTGGAAAAAGACAGAATAATAATCATGGCCATATGAATGTACGTGGGCATGGAAATGGTAAGAGACGATATAATAGTCGTCATCATGGTGGTCATGGCAAACGAGAGAACAATATGGGTTCTCAAAATAATCCTTCAAGAGGCAAAAGCGGTAACTGCCACCGCTGTGGCATGAAAGGTCATTGGAAAACTGAATGCCGTGCACCTGAGCATTTTGTCAGGCTTTATCAAAACTCCATCAAAAGAAAGGCAAATAATGTTGGAGCATCTTCTGCTAATGCCCCAGTGGAGTCACACTTGACCTTTAAAAATGATTTTGAGGCAGGGCCTTCAAACAAAAATGATGACAATGCCGAGGCAAATCTTGCTTTGAATGATGATGATTTTCAAGGCCTCGATGATCTTACTCATTTGGAAGTTGAAGACTTCTTTGGAGATCAAAACTAAAGTTTGATCATTTTACTGGGGAATGCAATTATGTTATTTTTATTTTCAGTGGTTTTTTTTTTCTCGTTCTAAAGTTGTTTTTTTTTTCAAGTAGTACTTATTGTCTTATGTTGTCGTTGGTGATGTTAGTTTTTTCCGTATTTCTCATGATGTACTTTTTTTTTTAATGAAGAATATAAAATTCCCCAATCTTCAATTGGATCCAAGATGAGTAATAAAGATTTATGCCTTTTGGATAGTGCTACAAATCACACAATATTAAGAGAAAAGAAATTTTTCTCTTATTTGGTTATGAAAAAGGCTTATGTTAATACAATATCTGGTAGTACAAAGTTAATTGAGGGCTCTGGAAGAGAGGCCTTATTACTACCTGGAGGAACGATATTAACTATTAATAATGCATTGTATTGTAGTAAGTCTCAAAGAAACTTGTTGAGTTTCAAAGCTATTCGTCAAAATGGCTACCATGTTGAGACCTCTAACGAAGGAAAGGTTGAACACCTTTATATTACTACAATAAAATCGGGGAAAAAATGTGTGCACGAAAAATTACCCGCATTTTCTTCTGGGTTGTACCACACAAATATTGGTGTGGTTGAATCACATGCCATAGTAAACAAAAGGTTTACTACTTCTAACGATTTTATCATTTGGCATGACCGGTTGGGCCATCCCGGTTCTAACATGATGCGCAGAATCATAGAGAATTCAAATGGGCATACATTGAAGAATAAGAAGATTCTTCAATTTAAGGAATTCTCTTGTGCTGCTTGTTCTCAAGGAAAATTGGCTATTAAACCATCAGCAGCTAAAGTTGGGATTGAATCCCCTGCATTCCTGGAACGTATACAGGGTGATATATATGGGCCTATACACCCTCCATGACGCATCTACAAGATGGTTACATGTGTGCTTATTGTCAACTCGTAATATGGCATTTGCGAGATTGTTGGCCCAAATAATAAGGTTAAGAGCACAATTTCCAGATTATGCAATTAAGACAACTCGTCTTGATAATGCTGGTGAATTTACATCTCAGGCCTTTACAGATTATTGTATGGCCACTAGAATAAAAGTTGAGCATCCGGTTGCTCATGTTCATACTCAAAATGGTCTAGCAGAATCATTGATTAAACGACTTCAACTAATAGCTAGACCATTGCTAATGAGGAAAAAACTCCCCCTTTCAGTGTGGGGACATGTTATTTTGCATGCAGCAGCACTTGTGTGCATAAGGCCAACCAGTTATCATAAAGTCTCCCCATTACAGTTGGCTTTTGGTCAGGAGCCAAATATTTCCCATCTAAGAATTTTTGGATGTGCAGTATATGTTCCAATTGCTCCACCACAACGCACAAAGATGGGTCCCCAAAGAATGTTGGGAGTATATGTTGGTTATGAATCTCCTTCTATTGTTAAATATTTGGAGCCTATGACAGGAGATTTGTTTACAGCCAGATTTGCTGATTGTCATTTTGATGAATCATTTTTTCCAACATTAGGGGGAGAAAATAAACAGCTAGAAAAAGAGATAGATTGGAACGTATTATCTCTATCTCATTTGGATCCTCGTAAAAATCAATGTGAACAAGAAGTTCAAAAGATTATTTATATGCAAAATGTTGCAAATCAATTGCCAAATGCATTTACTAACCTTCCACGGGTTACTAAATCGCATATTCCAGCTGTAAATGCTCCAATTCGAGTTGATGTCCCAGCTGGACAGTATGATGATGCAAATGAGTCTAGGCCACGCCTTTTAAACGTGGTAGACCAATTGGTTCCAAGGATAAGAATCCCCGAAAAAGGAAAGGAGCAAATGATCAAGTTGATCATAACATAGAGGCAATTGCTCAAGAGGAACATAAGGACATAGCAATTGATAAGACCTCACAGGAGGTTCTAGTACCTGGAAATGATGAAAATGAAGAGATCTCAATAAGTTATGTCTCTACAGGAAAAAGGTGGAACCGAAATAACGTTGTGGTTAATAACAATTTTGCATATAATGTTGCAATTGAAATAATGCAAC